TCAGGCTGAACCTGCAAAGGAGCTGAGTTTTTGTGAGGCTTTGGTGAAAACTGGTCTGCATAGGATCGGAGGAGGTGATGGATGAGGGAGAGAAGAGGCAGGTAATTAGCGGAGGGCTTGGAGCAGCAAGCAGAAGCTGGAGGAGAAAATGCCACCACACACGCATTTGAAGGGGCTGGAACCCAGTGGAATATAAGGGGAGGGTGACTAAGGTCTGGGTGCTAAAAGGGTGACTGGGGAGTGGCCATGGTTGGAGGGCTGTCAACTTGGCTGCTTTCAGTGATGTGTTGATGGTCACAACAGTGGATGATGGCATCCTGGGTTGGAAGAGTGGCATCTGAGAGGAGTTGAAGGATTAATTTGTCATTTGGAAGGGAAGAGCCTTTTGTGGTTATGAAACCGTGTGTTCTACCCAGATGGCAGCATGGTGACAGACTATGTGGTAGGCCTATTTAGAGTCTGTGTAAATGTTTACAGTGGTTCCCGAGGCCAAGATCAGCACACGGGGAGGGCTATGCATTCTGCCTCTTATGATGAAGTGCCAGGGGGAAGGGGATTGACCTTAGTGGTTTGGGTCAGAGCGACTATAGCGTATCCTGCTCGGGGTCCACCTGGGCCAGAGGAGGAGCTCCCATCTATGAATCAGGTGTGTTGGGCTTGGTGTAGCAGTTGCATATGTACTGAGGTGGTGGTAGGGATGAGGTCAGTTAAGGATTTGAAACAGGAGTGTGTGAGCTGTACATCTAAAAGAGGACGGAGAGGTGCTGGGTTGAGGGTCCTGCAGAGCTTTACTGAGACCTGAGGGTTTTCAATGAAGGTGAGGTGAAGAAGTTGGAGGCAAGAGGGAGCTAGAAGGCATACAGCTTGGTGTGAGAGAAGGTCCATGAGGCAGTGGGGGGCATAGACTGTAATCTGTCCCTGGACTGTTAGTTTTTGGACTTCCTGCATCAGGGTGGCAGCGGCCACCAGAGCCCTAAGGCAAGGAAACCAGCACCACGTTGTTGGTCCAGCTGTTTAGACAGGTATGCTGTGGGGGCAAAATCTGGGCCCTTGTATTGACCCAGGACTCCTAAGGCTGTCCCATGAGATTCTGAAGTGAATAGGTGAAAGGGTTGGGTTGGATCTGGCAGGGCAAAGGAGGGTGCCTGCAGAGGCAGGGTTTTGATCTGGG